CGACAGAAAATGAATCAGGATGAATTTTAGGAGTTTTTTGGTACTTAAAAGTCATTTGGGACTGCTGGTAAATATCACATTGAGCCCATAGTTTTAACCATATAAATTTGCAAGCATCACTCTCTCGTTTTGACTGTTGCCTCTGTCCCTGTCGCTATAGAAACAAATTGCACTGCCAAAAATGAAAGGAATCCTCTGGAAGAAAAAAAAAAAAAAAGGCTGGAAACATAGCTAAAGGTTTTTTTTTTTTAAAGCACTCTCACACATTTTAGTAGTCTTTCCCTTATTTATAAAAGAGACAGCCAGAAGCAATTAACAGGAGTGGAAGCAATACTTTACATTACAGGTGAAACCTCGAAGAGCATTTTCCCTCAATTATCCTTTTAAGTTTTGTAATATCTGTATGGGGAAAACAAACTACATTACAACAAACAGCTTCTGATCACTGGAAGTGGTGAATCACTGCTAGACTGAAGTTTCATGACCTGGTGCCTTTTTCAATGAATTGTGTTCAGAGTTTCTGCTCCTTTTGCCTATAGTCGCGTTCTGCAGAGCATTTAGGGCTTCTGCTTTTAATTTCCGACAGGACCGGCAGGTAGCAGGGAAGATGCGGTGGGTGCCCAGCCCGCAGCCTGTCCTGTCACCGAGTCACCGTTTGACACCGGACAACGGTCGGAGGCGGAGCAAAGCTCGAACGGAAAATGCCATCGTTACTTTCCCAGGCGTCCTCCATCTGCCTCGCCCAAGGCCGTGGCTATGAAGCGGCACCGGGTGCCGGCACACGCCGGGCACTGCTGCGTGGCGGAGGACTCGGCACCGGCGGGGGCCGCGGCCGCGCTCCCTTGGTGCCGTCCGCGGGCGAGCCGGGCCCGGCCCCGCACGGTGCAGCAGGTTGAGCCCGAGCCGCCCTCGGGAGCGGGGCTGCCCGGAGAGCTCGGCCGGAGGTGCTGGATGGCGCTGCGCAGCGAGCCGCTGCCACCGGATCCTTCCGCGCCAGGTACCGCTCCCAACCCCGCCCGAGCCCCGGGCGCTTTGGTTCGTGCGGTTTAAGCTCTTCCGCAACGGGGGTCAGGCGGTATTTGCTGAGCGTTTCCTTCAGGCTGTCTTCACTCAACTTTTCCATTTTATAACAGACCCCTGTCTTTCGTCTTAGTCTTTTGAAGAATGTGTTAAAAAGGGCACCCGGCCAGCTTCAGACCTTCACTGTACTTACTGGTGCTGTTCCATCTCCTAGGGGACGAATCCGAGAGTGGGTCTGAGAAGAACTTCCTTATTACACCGCCTGCAAAAGCAAAAGAGTTGGAGATGAAGACAGATCCTCCAGAAGCTTTTCTGGAAGGGCAAAAATACTATGAACAGGTTGTGCTTTCCCTCTTCTAAGTAAATATTATAAAACAGATACTATTCAAAACCTTTTCAGTGAAAAAAAGACACCTTAAAAAAACCTACAGGAGGTGCTCTATGCCTGGTTTTATCCCGTTAAAATCACCAGGTGTTTCCCCTAAATAAGTTTTTCCTACACTTTCCCCAAGCATCTAGTGATGTCTTCCAGTTCTCTCCCAGGTCTCCTAAGGACCAGATAAGTAGGCGGCAGCCTATCCGTATAGCTAACTTCCAAGCCAGGTTGGGTTTTGGGGCAGCTGACTGGCTAAACATAATGCTGTTTAGCATTTTGTTTAGCATTTGAAAACTGTTTTCAGTTACCAGTGGTACCAAATCCTGACCAATACACAGCTTTCAATCTTTGTTCTTGTTATAAACACATATTATAGTGTTGGCTTTCACAAATATTAAGATGAGTGCTATGTGTGTGTTAAACACGTATTGTAGTGTTAGTTCTCGCAGAGATTAAAGGTAGATGCTATGTGTTGCGCATCATGATATAATATTGTCTTATTTGTAGAAGAAGTTTAGTTATGGTTTTTTTTATATTATAGCAAACCTATACAAAAGCTGCAAAGAAAATCACAAAAAAAATCCCTTAATGGGGCCCTGATGGCAATAGTCCTTAAAGATAAGAAGCAGCTCGAGCTGGGGAAAAGAATGCATACATTCACTAAGATGCTTAGCACCTTCGGGGTGGGGAGGCCATCTCTCCAGGGCTATCAACTGCCAGGCCAGCACAGACCCTGTCAGCGGAAGGGTGGAAGGAACAGAGGCTTTGGGATGTGTGGTGAAAAGTCTCTGGTCGGAGCTCTTGGAATGTTCGTCCTTGGCTGCGCAGAGGAGCCCGGCTGGTGGGACCCCCAACCTTCTGATGGGCTTATCTGCATGGACAGCCCAGGGGCCCCTGCAACGGACACTTCCCTATCAACAACTGTCATCTACTGAAACCACAGAACAAGGGGCTACACCGGAGAAGGTGCCATGCTAAACAGCTCCTAGAAAAGTTTAATATGCATAAATGCCTATGAATAGGCATTAAGCTGATGCAATACGAAATGTATTTAAAGATGTCTCCTGCCAATAGCAGGTGTGCCTCTGGCAGATCACCAAGCACCCAATGTCATTCCTTTTGCTTTTATGTACCCTACTGTCATTTATTAAAACCCTTTAAATTTTAACAAGAAAGTGAATCTCGTTTTTCACATTCCTTACCTAAGAATGGAACTTGTTGAAGTTACTTCAATTACTTCAAGATTTCCATCCCAGCCCACTTCAGCTAAACTTGGTCATCCAAGTGTTTGAAAGTAAATGCTCAGGGAACAGTAGAAGACTGGCTGGCAGGTGATCTTAAACCAACTTTTTGTGAAAATTAGAATTTAGGAAGATGTTCAGGAAGATGGAAAAGAATGTAGTACAAACACTGAGTCAGGTATTTTCCAGTGTGACATCCATGGATTCACTATTGTTTACAGTGTAATGTAAATCAGTCACAGAGTTTGCAGCAGGAATAGAATCAACTCACTCAGGGTTTCTGCTTTCTGGGCCCTGACCTTCATGTTTTCATTCATGAATTACCTGAGACTAAGCTCCATGGAGCAGACCTGTCTGTTTCTTGACAAGCTCGCTTGGATGTCTGTGATATATACTGATGTACATCCCTAAACTTACTCTTTGAGCAGGTTTTAATTTTCAGATCTTTTTGTGTATGTCTATAGCTCATAAAAATGGACATGCTCAATAGTACTGCACTTTCAAATAGTAGAAAAAAAACACTGCCTAATCACAGCCATATGTCTCCTCATAGGACTAAATTCTCAGGAAAGGTAAGATTAAACGTGCCTCCTCTACTTCTTTTTCTGATATTCAGGACAGCTAGTTGTAAAAAGAAACTGTTTGTTTTTTGGTTTTTTTCCAGAGTTCTTAAAAATGCAAAGGCCACAGTCACAATGAATAAACTCCCAAGAGAATTAGAAGTTTAGACAATAGCTTGGACAGTACTAAGAGGGGATGATTGGTCATTGTGAGGACATTTGACTGACTATTGAACTGTTGCTTGCTTCTAAGCTTTTGCTGCCTGATATTATTTTATCAAAACATACAAAAATTTGAGTGAAAAAGACAGAGAAGAACATTTTAATTGTTCTTATTGTCAATATTTTCAATATTGGTTTTACTTAGTGTTTATTACTAAAAATATCTTAGTAAGGACACCAGGCTCAATTAACTGTTATATTACAGTTGTTTAACTGTATTTTTAGATATAGTTTCTTCCTTGACTTAATGCAGAAGCAAGTACTCTCTGAGATTCATTCTTAGGCCACAGGTGATACCACCATAAGAAATGTGGGGCAGACAGCTGGGTCCATAAAAGTCTTCAGACATCTGGTTTATTAGTCTTTGTGAAGCCAACCCTTAGTTGAGATGTAAAAGCAGGCAGTTAAACCCTCAAGGTGTAAGAACAGCTGACCTAAGTTATGGGGCAGGGACTCTGAATTAGACTTTATTTCCTCAAACTAAAAAGATGGCAGTTTAGGGGACAGAGAGAAAGTTTGTCAGAATGTCTTTAGGTTACCCAACTTTCTTGTGTCTGTTGACTTACTCTGTCTTTGTTTTCTGCCAGTTCTATGGTTACAATTTTTTTTTCTTTGTTCATGAGAGAAATACTGCAGGTTGAAAAATTATAAGGGTATATATATCATAGAGTTATTGTTTGTTTTGTCTTTCCCAGGGGTTGTATGAAGAAGCATTAAAGCAGTTTGAAAAAATCGAAGATTCATATTTTCAAGCAATGTATCAACTTGGTGTAATGTATTATGATGGACTTGGTACTAAAAAAGACCCTGTGAGTAATTTAGCTTCCCACTTTTTATTTTTCTTCTAATATTAGCTGATAATTACTAAGAGCTTCTTTCTAGGCATGATTATTTAGTTTAAAATTAACAGCCTTTTCATTTAGAATTGGTTTCATAAAATGCAGATGTTTACAGAGCATCACTACAGAGAGAGGGTTCTGGTTGTGGAAGTTCCCAAAAATGACTATAATAAACTAGGTGAATCTGAGAAATGCAGTAATTTGTATTTTAATATTAAATTCCAAGGGCTTGGTTGGACTTTGTATGAAAGCTATGTTTAAAAAATGCTTTAAATTTTTTACTTTTTCATGAGCTATTTATGTAGATTAAAATAAAGTGAATCCAAATGGAAACCAAGCAAGTATATTTCAAAGTGTAAGATCTCTGGCACAAAGACTTTAAGGCACCTTCTATTCTTTTAGCACAGATGCTAGAGATGATTGTGCTTCTGCCAATGGTTGACAATAATATTTTTAAATTATATAAATGAGGTAGTGATATTTTTAAATTCGACATATGAAAAATTACATTTGCAAGAATTTGAAGAAAATTGAAACGGAAGGATTCTATTACAAAGAAAGTAAGACAAAGGCTACAATAAAAAGAGTTAATTTATTGGTGAAGACAGTCTTAAAAAGTGTCATAGGGAAAGAACACAAGCATTAGGAAAAAAAGAGTAGGTCTTAAGACAGAAGGCCAAAAAAAAAAAAAAAGAACCAAAGGGTATATTAACAAATGAGACTCCTGTCTGGTGCTTAGAGTATTGTCAGCAGAACAGAAAATTTTCTGATGGGGTTTAGAGGTGATTCTTTTTTTCTATATGCCTGTTTAGTTACCACATTTGTTTACTTGCAAATAAACATTTTAGTGAAGTTTCTTTCTTGTGTATTACAATATGAAAGCTGAATAAAAGGAAAACCTTTTCTAATGGACTGTTTCTAGTGTATTTAAACAGGGTGTCCATGTTAAGTCCTAGCAGCATAAATATTATTTCTAAAGTACTTCTGAGGTCCAGCTGCTCATATGCAATGTCCTCCATTTTCTATCCTTTATGAGTCTAAGGTATTTTAAATGCAGGGACTTAAAAGTGTACTCTATCACTTTGCCTTTTTGTTAAGGTTATTTTATAATTTCTGATACCTTATGCAATATTAAAAAGCTCTCATAATTCTGAAATGGAAAATGCTGCAAGTTTAGGATGTGACATTGATTTATGTAAACACAATTATATTAGTGAGAAAATCTCTATCAGTGAAGAAAAGTAATAAAATATTAGATCAATATTTATGAGAAAATGTTTCACACTAAAAATATGCTGGGGTCAAAAATTTAGGGGCTGTCTGGTAACCAATGATCAGTTCTGCTTTGGTATGACACGGTTTTCCAGACTGTCCTACCACTGTGCCTTAGGCTTTCTTCCAAGGGAGAAAAATTACCTTTCTTGCAGAAGTAGTGCATTGTGAGGTTATATATTTCATCCTTGTCACAGTCTGAACATAATAACTTAATGGCTCAATTTTAGGAAAGGGGAGTGGAATACATGAATAAAATACTCGACTGTGATTCCCCAGAAGCATCACACTTGAAGTTTGCAGCTGCATACAATCTTGGCAGGGCATATTATGAAGGATGTGGCGTTAAACATTCAGTTGAAAAGGCTGAAAGGTAAGGGCAGTCAGTGATTTTCCTGAAAAATTGTAAGTTTCTGTGTTACTTAAACTTTGTTGTCCCCATTTTCTTAGGTTGTGGCTTTTTGCTGCAGACAATGGAAATCCAGAAGCAAGTGTAAAGGCCCAGAGTACTTTAGGAATGCTTTATTCTATGCCACTTCTAAAAGATCTAAAGAAGGTAAAGCCCACTTGTATCTTTTGAAGTAAAAATGAACCAAAATTAATTTTTAATTTCACAGGAATAGTACAATGGTATATATAACTCTGAAAGCTATATTTTGAGTAGTTAAGCATTATCATCCATTTAAGCCTGTGTGAACAGATGGACAGAATCCTTCATTTTGACTCACTTGACACTGCTAGCCAAGATTTATTTTTTTAGTGAGAGTATCAGAAAGAATGAGAGAATGGATTAAAGTTTTGTCAGCTTTGGTAACCTTCATAAATCCAGCAGGTAACACTGATTAACAGCTCTGACAGTAAATGAAGCAGGTTTAAAAGCCTTCTAAGGATTCTACTTTCTTTTACGTATAAAGTACTTCTTACAGGATGGTTGGTGTAAGAGCTTTTATGGAAACATTGTACAAGAAAAGCAGCTAAGTAAATATATGCTCCACCTTTGTGCTTCTTGTTTAGGCCTTTTTCTGGCATTCAGAAGCAGCTGAAAATGGAAATCTGGAATCACAAGGAGCCCTTGCCATTATGTATCTCTATGGACAAGGTGCACCTCAAAACAGTGAAGCTGCTTTGGAACATTTGAGAAAAGCAGCAGAACTTGGAAACATCTATGCTCAAGGCCATCTTGTGGAATATTATTACACTAGAAAATTTTACTCAAAAGCTGCTGCAGAAGCCAGAAGGTAATGTTTCCTTTTTCATTATGGTTCTTCATGCAAGACCATGTAAAACAGATTTAAATAATTAATAAGAAAATGACCTTGTCTTTCGGACACAAGACATGTTTGACATAATGAACTGCAAAATTCATCTTTAACAACAGAATAGCCAACGACAAAATGTATGCTATAAGGTTCTCAATTGCTCAGTACAGTTGAACTTTTCCTTCTTATCCTATAAAGCAAAACAGCCTTGGATTAAAATCCCAAGCAGATGCCCACATGCAACCCTGCCTTCCTTGTTCTCTGTCTCCTCTAGGCTCCTGCCTTCACCATTACCTTTAACCCCTACTTTAACAGTATCAAAGAACCCCCAGGCTGGAAGGGATCTCAGGGATCATCTGGTCCAACCTTTCTTGACAAAAGCATAATCAGACATGATGGCCCAGCACCCTGTCCAACTGAATCTTAAAAGTGTACAAAAACCTGAATCCACCACTTCCCTTCACCTGCTTTCCCATCTTTGGTGTGCTTCTCTCTTGGTTTTGAGCAGGCTCAGAAACTTGCAGTAAAGCCAAGGAGGTCTCCTGCTCCACCTACTTTCCTTATCTTTAAAGGGGGTGGACAAACCCCACTGTGCTTCCAGGAAAGCATTCTTGAAAAGTTCCCAGCACTCACTAGCTCTTCTGTTCTCCATGGAAGCTTCCTGTGGAGACCCTTACAAGTGTGCTGTGAGCTAAAGTTTACTGTTCTGAAATCTACAACCTTTGTCTTAATACTAACCCTCAGAGTGCTCAGCAGGATCCCAGATCCTCAATATTGTGATCACTGCACCCAAGGCTATCACTCACTGAGCTATACAAAACAGATTATCTTGGTTTGCAAGTAGCAAGTCAAGCAGTGCCTCATTCCTGTCTGGCACAATTGACATCTGCTTAAGGCAGCAGTACTCTGCTACTCCCTTTAAGAAACTTCATGGATGTCCTGGGAGTTGCTGTATTGTTCTTGCATCTAATGCCTGTGTAGTTCAAGTCACCCATAAGATCCAGATTCTGTTACCCAAAGTTTACTTAATTGTCTCGTTGGTCTTATTTTGTTCGGAGGTCAGTAACAGTAAGATCCCTCTTGAGATGATCCCTCTGATCCTGGCTTAGAGGCATTCAATAAGGCTTCCAAAATTGCCATAGTTAACTTCTATATATTCAAGGCTCTCCTTAACTCAGAGCATGACTCCTCCTCTTTTTCTGTCTTTACAAAACAGTCTAAAGCCATCCATCATGATCCTCTGGTCACATGAGTTGTTCCACCATGCTTCAGGATTCCTATGATTGTGTGACTTGGGTGCAGAGCTCCAGTTCCTCCTGTATGGTCCCCGGTCTGTGTGTATTGTACATATACACTTGAGGTGGTTGGTCTTGTGGTTCCTATCCTGGGAGGCAGATAAAGAACATTTGTTGCTGCTCTGGTTGGGCTGGCTTATTCCCCAGTTGGTTGCACTGGCACAAGAGCAACCACTTTGGGTCCAAAGTGCCCTCAAATCCTTCAGCTTAAAGCTTGCCTCAATAGGTTGGTCAGCTTGCTGCCAAAGATTCCTTTACCTATTCCAGACAAGTGGATCCTATCCCTCCTTAACAAGCTGTAGTCATCAAAGAATGTCCCATCATCATAAAAGCCAAAACAGTTATGGCAGTTCAGGCTTTGTGGCCACCTTCCTCCCACTGGTAAAAGGTAACTGAAGAAAAGGTAACTTGGCACCAGTACCTGCTTGTACCCCCAGGGCTCTGTAGTCTCTCTTGATTCAGTGGTATCATTCATGCCCACATGAAAGAGTAGCAAATTATCTGTGCTCTGGATAAGTTGTGTCTCTACCTTGACATCTCAGACCTTAGCTCCTGGACAACCATATACCCCTCATGAGTCCCCCTCAGGCTGACAGATGGTGTCTGTCTCACTGTCTCCCACCCCATAATTTCTTTGCTGTGCATCTTGGTTCAGTCCCTGTGTTCTTGATAGGAAATGCAGGCATTAATACTGGGTGGGATCCTGCAGTCAGCACTCTGAGCAGCACCAACCTGCGACTTAGAAGCAGCTGCTGTGCACAGTGCTGAGTTACCACCCTTGAGCTTCCCATGAATTGCTGCTTATGAGGATGCATTCTGCATCCTGGACCACAAATCAGGCATATGCACGCCAAGTGATGTTAATGGTTATCTACTTGCATAGAGGTAGTCAACTGAGCCCCAATTAGGCAGCATTGACTGGCCTCTCAACAGGCAGTCACTGTGGGACTCACTGCTCTAGCTACACACTCTGGAGTGGTTTGTGTGTTGCAGAAATAGCAGCTTCTGTTACAGGCTGCAGTATTTAAAATAGTCTGCGTCAAGTTGCTGTATCTTGAACTAGTCAAGTAGGACATAAGCACCGTTGGAGCAATGTTCTATGGCTGATAAACAGACAAACCTCCAGAGGTTACCAGTGTATGTTAAAAATTCAATCTGTCAATCAAATTATTGATTTGCTGGAAATAAGATACAGATAGATTGACTACTTGCACAAGTGGCATACAATAACATTCATGCTTTTTAGGGTAGGTTTATAAAGCTGCTGTTGCACAGAAATAAACATGTCACAACTCACCATATTACAGAAGTTGCCCTCTGTATATGCCACTGCATAGCAGAAGCTCTGGTAATTCAGTAGTTCAGCTATGGATGCTGTTTGCTATACTCTGTGCTGAAAAGGATTGTTTCTCTCTGAACTGCTGCTTTTCTTTTTTTTTTGCACTCTCAATAGAGTGATAGCTGTTTAGTCTGGTCTAGCCTGCCTCACTCAGAATGAATCCCCTCCAGTCAATGCTGCGGGGTAGATTATCCAGACAAGTAAACACTGCACTTCACCAGCTGCAGCTGTGATTGCAGAAAATAGCAATGCAATCCCACTACAGTAAGAGATGGCCATTTCTGAAACAAAACCTACTGCAACCATGCTTCAAACAGTTCGACTTAATCAGAATTGAAGTTAGCCTTGAGGCAAAAATCTCAACAGTTCAGCATCCAGCACCAATACCTTCTCTGCTAAAATCTGTCCTTCTGTGTTCATACCAACTACATAATTTGTTACAAGCACAGAAACATTATGTGACTATGTACAGTATAATCTTGCCTCATATTTGGAGTCTAAATTACCTACTTTTATTTCAAATAATTTAGTTATCCCACACAGTTCTACTTACCAGTTGCTGTGGTGTGTTGTTGAAGTCTGTGCTGCAATAGAATTTTTGTCTGACTTGGCTGGGTGTTGTTCTTTGCATCAGCATCCTGTAGCATATCTTTTTGAAAGAAAGGCAAAAAAGTTATATATCAGGAATAATAAGAGAGGTAACGTTACTTTTGTTTTATTTGAATGTTCTTGCTACATAAGAACAGTTGTGTTGCTGTATTGGTTAATGGGATCAAATTAGGTGGGAGAACATAATTTGAAACACACCCAAGTAATCTAGCAAGCACTGACTTGCAGAGGAGTAGTTGAGAACAATATTTCATAAACGCTGATTTGTAGGAAGCACTTGTAAACTGAAATTACTTGCACTTTTCCTTCTTTTTTCTGTCAAGTCTATGACTTTGACACAGCTATAATGATGTGTAAAGAAGCATAAAATTACTGTTTGGTATCTGGAAAGGACATGGGGCTTGCAGGTATCTGTTTTAAGACAACAGAAACAAATCAATTCCCACTTAGATACAGCATTTTCTAATACAGTGACAATACCAGATAATTATAGCTTGCCAGTTAAAACAACATCCACTTTGTCCCTGATTCTTAACATGGTTCTTACTAAAAACAACATGCTGAAACTAAGATGATAGCAAGCATGCAGAATAAAGGAAATAATTTAGCTGAGACAATGGTAAGAGGTTTTCCTAACTGAGTTTTATAACCAGAGGCTCCCAAATACGTTCAAGATTTTCAGATTACTATGATTTGCTAATATCCTAGTAAGAATTGGAAATTTTACAATCACAGAATAATGGAATGGTTTACGACGGCCCTTTAAACTTCACATAGATCCAGCTCCTTTGCTGTGGGCAGGGACATATTCTGCTACATGAGGTTGCTCAAATCCATGAAATAAGAGCTTTGCCTTTCTTCCACATACAATTTCCATAAAATAATTTAATGGGAATGATTAGTGTAAAATACATTGCCTTTTATAACTAGTATAACTACAGTGAAAGTGACTTCAAAAGTTGTATACTTGTTTGCTGTTTAATATCACAATATTCAAATGAGACTAACTTGAAATCAAATATGAAATAGAAGAATCCTCGTAAGATCCTAAATACTGTAAATTTCAGCTTATTTTGGATAATAATGTAAATGGAAAGGAGGCACTGTCAAAGTCATATATGGTCAACTTAAATTATTGCTTGAACTAGTATTATTTAAGACAATGCTCTAAATTCCACAACAGGGCTACAAAAAATGATGACATCAATAAGCTGGCCGAGATGTCCGACTGTCATCCAACATATGTAGCCAAGGGGGCTGCTATGGCTGCTTTCTACTTGGCTAGATGCTTCCAGCTTGGTCGAGGTATAAAGAAGGACAAGGCTGCTGCTGAGAAATACTATTCTAAGGTAAGCTTGACAAAGTCTTAGAGATTAGTTTATATCTCATGAAATGGAGTGATACCTTGGATCAGACCTCTAAACTTACTATTTCATTAAAGAATCCAACATTATGTTAAAAAAAAAAATCTCTTCAAGAAAATGTAGAGTGGTAGAAGCATACTGAAAACTACTGAAAATAGCCTTGAATGGATGCTATCTGCCCACTTGCTTAAGCAAACAATGCAATCAACAACAAAAAAAAAAACATGGTGATCACCACAGCAAAGAGCTTGGTAACTTGCAAGATAAATTAGCTAGACAATTTGAATAATTTTGTCCCAAATTAATTTGCTTTCTCATTCTCTCACAACCGAAAAACCATAACTTTTCCAAATACTTTAGAATCTGTAACAATTACAACCTCTATTAACCATACTTAAATTGGCCATAACTGGTTCTCATGCTTATTTTTATACTTACATTTTCAGTGATGCTGAGGATCTACTGCTTTCTCTGTTCAATATACACGGGGGAAAAAATAAGTCCCATTTTTTCAAAGTTCTAAATTTGGAGTAAGAATGAGGAAAATTAAGCATGAGGAAGAATATTAATAATGACCTCTAGAAGATGAATCTGTTAAGTAATATCAGTGATGCCTAAGGGATCAAGGCAAAGTGATTATACCAGCTGAAGGGAGTGTAGCAAGTTGGCATCTGTGCTTCAGAGAGACTCTGTGGTTCCTGTGCATGTAGTCACCCTTTGTTTCTGAATACTTTGATGTCCTTGGTGAAATCTAAATGAATGGAGAGGTGTGTAAGTGATAAATTATCAAACAATTTTTGTGGCTCCTTACTCAAAGAAGCCACAGATAGAAGAGGCTTAGAGCAGGTGATCTGGATACAGATATTTTAAACAATCTGTTCTCCTACTGTGAAAAATGTTATAGAGGATAGCATGAGAAAGAGATCAGGAAAGGAATATAAGCTGAGGTATTATAGGCAGTATTCCTAATAAAATCTTAAGGCATCCAAGAGGTCCATTAATATCAAGATTGAATAACTGCATGGCTTTGTGGAAGTGTTGCCCTTCCCATTGTCTTCTAAAGTCTAGTAAAACTGCCACAGCTGAAAGAAGACTAAAACTTTCCCTGATTATTCACTTGCTGTACCTCTGAGACTAATCTAGGAATGTTACTAACATCTCAGTATAAAAGGGTAATTCCTATAGACTGGCATCATGCATCCCTAAATCAATAGCGAAAGAGAAGCAACATAAAATAAACAAGGAATCTCCCTGAAACAGTAACTTTTAAAGAGTTAAAGTGTGTGCAGTATCTTTTTGTACCTGGAAAATTTTCATGTTAATTGTATAATTGCACTTCAAATCATATTTGCTTGTTGTAATTAACTGCTCAGCTGTGGTTTTGGCCTACCATTCTCAGACCAAGTTTTGTAAGAGATGAGAAAGAGAAGGTGGGCATCCCTAAGGGTCCTGAAATAGATGATGGAAGTGAATAAAACTAATCCAGTCTGTAAGCAGATTTATTTTTCTGACTGTGGTGTTGCACACGCCATGCCAACAAATAGGATTTAAAAAAAAAACAACCCCAAAAGTAACACTGTAGTCAAGTATGCTAATTTAAATTATTAATTTTTTTATTACATTGCATTAGAAACAGGGATTCAAAGCCAAATATGTTAACTCTTCGATATTTTAGCAAGTTGATTGTCTCAGATAGCTTTGTTGACACTAAAGATTTATTAATATTATATTGACAACATGGAATATTATTGTAGCTATAAACTAGAACTCTCATATTCTTTGTTTTCAAAGGCATGCCATCTGGATCCTATTGTTGCTTCTAACCTTGAACTGGCAGCTAATCATGGGAGAATTTAGTGTTTCCTTTGACTGGTATATAAATATATTTCCTACAATAAACCACCATTAATCTCCAGCAATTATAGACTGTTCATCACTTACTGCTTGCTTTTCAGCTTTCTATAAATGATTTAAAATAACTGGCTGATTCATTTCATTTAAAATAAAGAGAAAGCATAAAGCTCACACTCTAAGTCGGATGAAGCCAAGACAGATTTTTTTAAAATAGTATTGAAAACTTAAAGGTGCATTAAGGATGTTTCACTGGGACAGATGTATTTTCTTCATGTCATACTGCTACACATCACATAAATCAAACCAAAACCAAATAAAAATGGTTGTTTCCCTCTGCATATATAATGTTTAAATTTTTATATTCTGAAAAGCTTGAACCCAAACTTGTCTCTTTTCAACATACAGCCCACGGCCATTTTTAAAGCTTACCTTTGTTAGTGGTGGTTATACTTTCTTCCACATACTTTCTAAAGCATCTAGATCTACTTAAGTGTCCTTATACATTTTCCTTTTGGATTGCAGAGACTCAGAGTTGGAAACTGGCCGGTAGAACACCAATCTTTAAAATTCAAACCATACCAGCTTCTAAAACTAGAAAATACTACTTACAGAACTGTGGGGGCAATATCTCCAAAAGTTAGCATGGAAATATTCAACATACATCCTCAGCATGGGACTTGTTTTCTTCATTCTTCATATTGCAGTCACACTGCCTCTGTTTGTATTAGAAATAGTGTGAAGCCTTTTGGCTAAGGGAATGTATGCCTGAGCAATGGCACAATGGATCTTGGATGAAAACATACTTTGATTAATCACTAGGAAAACTTACTGATTTCGATGGTAAGCTTGCACATTTCTGAATGCCTGTTTACTTATGGAACTTTGTAAGTGCAGAATTTGCCTTGCTTCTTAGGACTGTGCCATGACCGTAAATCTTTTCTGAAACTGTTGGAACAGAAGGCTAGATGTTACTAAAAATGTTAATTTAAATACAGCATACAGACTGTATGTACCTTACAATACAGGCAGTCATAATTGCAAGTAGTATTTCTAAGAGCGCAACTGTACTGAATCGAGAAGACAGTAATGAGTGTCACCTAGGGATTTTTGATTATGTTTAATTATTTAGATGTGCATTAACACCATATTTACATATTTTTACATAAATTTAAAAAAAAAAAAAAAAAAAAACAACTACTCAAGACAGTTTTCTTTCCTTGTATAAAATATGGGAAAGATTTGAAGGTTATTTGAAATTGGGGTATTTGAATAAAACAGCCCTGAATAATATCAGGGAAGTTATCAGAATGGTTTAATTAAAGGTTGACTTGATCATTCATAGAAGCAATTCAGAAGCACTAATCTCTGAACTAACATTTAACACAGGCATTCTGTTAAGACATACCAGTTTATAATACATAATTTTGACACAGACTTCAAAGCAATGTAGATATTTCTTATGAAACTAGTGCTGTCAAACTCATTGATCAGTTGGTAGTACAGCCTCATTATCAAGTACTGCAATCCGGTTGTGATATTTATTGCTTACAAATGCTTCAAACTACAGGAAATCTTTGGTAAAACCAAAATTGATAAAATTTTCACAATAGCTTTACATGTAGTATTGCACAACAAGGCTTTTTCAATACACAAGAAAAAAAAGGAATGCTCAGATCCTCAGTGAGGAGATTAGAACTGTACAACATTCATTAGTTTACCACTATAAGCAAAATTTCTTTCCATAAATGTTTAAAATATCTTCTGGTTTCTTTCAGCATATATGAACATGTATTTTTCAATCTATATTTGAAACAGAGGAGTAGTCAAATAGAACAATTTAAATAAAAATTGGCAGCTATACAGCATTTTTTTGTCTACCCTATGACAGCATCAGATCTTTTCAAGTCTGTTTACTTCACAAAAAACTCAAGAGGAAAGAAAAATGCTAAAAATAATCATAGTCCTCAGCCCTCTATGGAAAAGAGGAAAATAAGTTTCATGTCTATTCTTGAACATAGACATTTCTCTAGTGGTCCAATTGTGCAGATTCAAACCTAAGTGGTATTAGGCTGCTCTAAATGAGCTCTCAGCTCAGGACATAGTTCAGTTAGCAGCAGTTCCAGCAAAACCTGAAAAACAGAAAAGAGTTAAGTTGATGCAGGTGCTCACCAAATGAAAATTTCTTCTTCCTTTCTGTTATGTTTATAACAGAACAATAACTTCAAATAACAGAAGCACATAGGTTCAACTATAGTCATCATTCATGCAACTGCTTTCCTTTCATCCAAAAGTTAGCATAGGCCCTACACAAAACATGGGAAATGTCTTAAGGTTGAAAGGAGACAAGTGTTAAGGCAGCTGCTTTCACATGGGGATTTCCCACCCAGTATAAACTGGTGCTGTTCTGTCAAAAACTCTGTAGCATCACAAGCAAGCACCAGGGCATGCATCTTCTCTCTGGAATGTGCCAGAAGAGATTGACTGACTGTGAGGGTATTGCACTTAGATCCAGCTACATATTCCAACTAGTCCCAACAGTTCATGAGTGAAACTTTTAGAGGGACATCATGCCTTAACTATGAACCAGTCCTGGAGCTCTCCTTCTCTAGGATTCTCCAAGGTATGTTTATTTTTCTAAGCTGTATGAAGAAATTAGTTTGTCTCTTATGAAGTCAAGCACATTGGATGTGGTGGAGGATCTCTTTTGTCTAAAAGCAATGCTGCCGTTAAACAGTCTTTTGTTATTCAAACTTAGTCAAGTGATCAAACCTAGAACATCTGACTTAATAATAAATAAATCTCTGCAAAGACACACCCCCTAGGCTTTAATACTGAGTGAATAGAGCACAGTGACTAACAGGATTATGAAGTTAAAATGCTACTTTTCTGGTTACTCACATAAAGTAGATGCTTATTAGCTTTCCTCTCTTGCAACGCATTGAACACTTTCACTACACCATGACGGGCATTTTGTTGTCCAACAAGATTCTGCAGAGTATCTGCAATAAACATTACTTCAGTTGATATTGTTTCACTCATGCTAGGCAAAACCTCCGGCCAGAATCAGAGAATTGTCATTCTACTACCCAAAATCCCAATCATCCATGTTGGATGAAACCTTCAAGATCATCTAGTTCAGCCATGAAGATCCATAAAGGAGAGAAAACAAAGCTACTGCACTGCCCTTGCCTATTGGTCCTTGGCTACAAAATACACAGTCCCTGTTCCCCAACTTTTTAAAAACACAGCTTGTAACGTAGGTCATATCTTGAAAAGACATTCTCAAGTTACACAAGTTAGGTAACAGTGTGTGCAGCTCAGTGGCAACGTTTTAAGTGTTTTCCCTGACATATAGAATGCCTTGTCAGTAATTCACCTCACCAAGCTCAACTCACATATCATTAAACAATTCACTTAAATACAGCCACAAAGCCAAAGAATTTCTACAATATTTAAAACAGATTGAGCCCTTCAATTGCCTCTCAGTCTTCAAAGAGAATACTTCCCACAAGTAGACAGTTAAAACAAGAATTCTAAGTCAATTGGTTACATTTATCATTAAACAAGAGAATAAATAGTGATTAAGTGCACCGTTTAAAGTGCGTTCAGCTTTGTCCTGACATGTCTCCTGACACCCATGTCCTGACATATACTCAGAAAGAAACAAAAAAATCAAACAAAAACATAAACCAACTATGGAAGGCTATTTAGGTAAGTAGGTAAGTATATAAAATGGGGAGTAAATGGAGGGTTGTTTACTCATCAAATGGCAAATATTTTGCAAGCATATCAACTCCTTTTTGGCAGTAGAAGTTGAATAAACTACCTAATGAATGGGGGTATATGAGATGAGATCGCTCAGTGAAACCATGAAATAGCTCATTCTCTTCAGATGGAGCAGAGAAAAAGCATTCAAGCTGTGTTTAAGTGCATTTTCCAGGTGCTAAAGGTAAATAATTTTGGTTCTTTTCAGTGAGGTGCCTTTGGGTTTACATGGTCTCTGGAGAGTTGGAGTAACTGGACTTCCTTCCTGTGAGTGGGACAGGATGGAGGATCTCAGAATGTCTGACCATTCTGGCTGAAGTGGAAGCTGCTTAGGCTTGGGAGATAAGGGTAGGCAAAGGGAAGTACTGAAATACCCACTCCATCCAGGATCATCTTCCTCCCAGGCTGCAGGTTACTCTAATATCAGTGCCCTGAGACCTCTTAGCAGAAACAGCCAGCCACACGCAACACTAACAGCATGAGCAGATCTCTCTCTCTCCAACTTGGAAACACTAGAGGAAGAAGTAACTGGGGTGGTGCCACTCTCCCTGTTTGGCAAGTAGTTCCAAGCAGCAGAGCCACATTTACAGAGAGCCAGCAGAGAGAGAATCAGCTGAGGTTCCTTGTGAATATTGCACACAGAAATGCAGAAATTTTGATTTTGCACCCACCAATAATATTGAATCCATGCCTTTTACCAGACAGGCAGCAGAGGCAAAGACTAAGGTCAAAATCATTGTTATTTATGCAAATAGACATAATTTAGAGCTCTACAGGAAAATAATTTTATTAACTAGTTTCCTTACTAGTTTTTAAATCTCTGATTAAACAGAGTGAAAGTGATCTCACCTGGAATGTTTTCAAGTAGTTTTTGCTGTGCTCTCTGTTTTGTCTCCTGCTTTTGCTCATCGCTCTTGGCTCTTGGTGGTGGAGCTAATTTTCCATTTGGCCAAAAAGCATCTCGAAACACACCAATGTAGTAAACAAGCATTGGTTCACTGAACATCCAGTGTACAGTGTCACGAATTTGCCTGTAAAGAAATGTACAAGGGAGCCCATCAGAGGTAATCTTTCATGCTTTATGCAGATTTATTCTTTTTACTCCTCAAAGTAGTGGAAGAGATGTTCTTTTTCGTGTTATTATGCCAGTACACCAGATTTCACTGGCATCACAGGTCCTATTCAGCTCTGGGTGCTTCTAAGATCTGGGTCACTCTAGATACCTGACTGAGACCTGGAGAAGGCTACTTTTCATTGTACTCCACAAACATACAGTACAAATTACAAGTACTACATTGAAATGTACATCAAAACAACATTTCAAGGATGACACTATAAAAGGCTCCACCGGGAAAAGACATGAAAATCAGTTAACTAATTGCAGCAAACTCCAGACTAGTTTCCTGCAGAGATGTGTCTGCTAGCATAAAAAAAATAGGCCAAGTTTTGATAGACGCACAGTAAGTTCCTTCACAGATAGCAAAAGCACATTACTGAGGGGGTTACAGATGGAGATAGCAGCCTCCTCCTGTGGCTGCACAACTCACTTAGCCTTCAGCACCAAGAGTCTAAGGTAGAGAGCAGGCTCTCTACCTATCAGTAGGTATTATGGTAGTACCTATCAGTACTGCTGAAGTGGACTACACAGCCAAGTCCCTTAAAATCAATAAATGTAAAGTCAACCTACAGGTAAAAGGTTACATAGGAACCTTGCATGCATGCTATGCTCACACACTCTCTCCCTCTCTGTCCACTTCAGGTGGCTTCCAGTTATCAGCAGGGTATGAACAAATGAACCAATCAATTCAAAACTCAGTGAGTGGATACTGTCTGAGACCAGTCCAATTTACTGTTATGTAACATACACAAGAACTTTAAAATCCATGCTGGTGTGTGCTAATTTAGTCACTGACTGGATGAAGAATGGCCTGTTATGCTGGTAGAATAAAATTTTTTCTGGCCAGTGATACAGCTTTCCCCATGAAGGTGTGTACAGACAGGCATGCTGACTTCATAGCCTCATGCAGGCCTCACTTGGCAAAATAAAGATAATTCACATCTGTGTTTTCTCTAACAAATGTATTTGTAAATTGAGCAGTGGGAAACAAATGCAGATTATCATATCCATCAAAATGTCCAGATTATTTTTTAACGGTTCTCCTCTCAGTCTTTTTTTCACAGAACAATGACTAAGGTTCATTTAAAGCAACAGCTACTTACTTGTTGATAGTTCTTCCAAAAGTGACTTGTACTAGTGCAATTAATGTTTTTCTGACCCACTTGAACACTAGAACAATGAAAAAATGACAAAAACCAATGACCAAGAAGTTAATAATCTTATCGAACCCATGATCACATCCACCACCTTCCCCCTCTCCCACCAAACCAAAACCAAACAACCCATCCCTACAATGACCACATCGTTATAACCCTTTCTAAGATTCCATTAATTGTACAGAGGTTTCATTTTTCTTGATTACTTTCCTTCTATTGTTTGCTGTATGGTTTTTAAGTCTTGCAGATAGCATAAACATACATATAATATGCATTCTAGGTTATACTCTAAATTTTTATATGTAAGAATATTTCAAGCTTATTGAGACAACTTCTCAAAATCCTTTTTCTACTACAAAAAAAAACAGATGTTCTGAAAATTCCCACCCTTTTAATACCTATTAGTATGAAGTACACTCAACAGCACTATTAAAATTCTGAAAACATTTTCACTCAAACCAAGCAGTCAGCTTTCCATTATAAATAAAGGAAACAAATGTGAGTGCTTCCTAATAATTACTGGTTAATCTTTCTTTCATGATGTTCACCATCATAATAAAGTCTATATTTGGAAGATACATCTGCCATTTTTGGAAGGTGCCACATTTTGTAATAGTTACCCTGTAAATAATTTTATAGAGCATCATGTATGGTTGCACATTCAAATAGAAACAAAAATAATTTTCTTTATTACCATTATTCAGTTATGAAAGGACAGGGGAATCCAGTATTTAAAAGATACCACAAGCCTAATATAACTTTCATCATACGAATTGCAGAATTAAAATAGACATATAATGCACTTAAAATGGATATTAAAATTGTATTTCTTTGTCAGAGATGTGTTTTATAATAAAGCTATCCTTTCTTCCCCAGAGTTCATACTGTCTAACAAGTAGCCTGTTTACAAAAATGATACTACTGTCCTTTCCTCTTTTTTTCTAATTTTTTTAATGGAAAATTAGAAAGTATGAATTGCAAATGCTCTCCCCCACCAGTTACATTTTTATTGCCATTTTGTATTAGAATTCCACTTTTGAACAAAATCTCCAAAGTTATTGAACTGCTGAAGAATAGCTTTCCAACCAAACTGGCCATAGAGATTGCAAGAGTGTTCCCATTTATTGAAACAGAAAAAAATCTGAATTAAGAAGTGCCCCACAGAGCCAAGAGATTTCATTAGCAGTTGGGCAGATTTACAGCTTACTTCCTCGCAGTTCAAAAATCTCTCCAATCAGCATGAAACACGGTTCAGCAAGAGAGTCCTTCTTCCCATCCACCTCCTCTCCATAGTCCGACAGGTCACTGTCCTCTTCCGTTTCTTCCTAGGAAGAGAAGAACAACATGGGTATGCACTACAGTTTCCCATCCTTCTTCCAGAATGGATTTAGCTGCTGCCATGCTCTGGGGAAGGAGCACAGCCAGTCCTCTCAAAAAACAGTGTTAGAGCCAACAACTGCTGCTGGCAGGATCTGGCAACTAGGAATGACACTTCTGCTTGCAACCTTGCCCCAGAAAGCACCTCTCAGTGCTGCCCAGATTTTCAGGACCTACTGCCTGCATTGCGTCACTGCCACCAACTGGATAAAAGAGAAGTGATGTGGGAGTGTGTTCTTCTAAGAACCAGGTGAGAGCTGTATGCAGGAGATGGCACTCAGAGGTGTTTGTGATTGCAAAGCCTCTGTCACAACACCCACAAAAAACATCCAGGATGGCGAGCTAGCCAGCTGGAGCTGTTTGCAATGCAAGCAGCTAGGAAGATAAAGGAAAAATCTGTCTTTTGCACCGGGAGAAGCAGCTAGCTGGCTCCCCCAGAGAACAGACAGGGCCTTCACAGCTGAAGCCACTCAGTGGGATCAGGCACTAACCAATTGTCCTTGCAGTGGAAAGGGAAAGGGAACCAGCAGTGGAAAAAGGAACCAACCAGAGACAAGCACCACTAATGACAACCAGACCCAGGCAGAAAAAAAAACATTGTGATACTTTGTGATCTGAGGATATCCAAGCTCAGAGCACCAAAGGGAAAAGAGCTATTCCGAATAAACTCACAAAAGATGACTGGTTGAACCACCTCAGTCCTATTAGTACCATCTATTCAAGAGTGAGGGGCAGGCAGCAGGTTGTTTTTCAGTGTCATGAAGATTGCTTCAGGATCAGGACTACCACACCTGTCATTACTCATGGGAGCTGACACAGCCCTTTGCTTCCCTGGATCTTCCCCTGCTTGCCCATGCTCAGAGCAAAGCTAAAGAGAGGCAGACCTGACCTCCACTGGGGCTGGTGCAATGCCCCAGTCTCTGGATCAGGAACAGTCAGAATGCTGTTCAAATTTTCTTCTTCAGCCTGGTTTCCAGAGATATCAGTCATCTCTTCCTTTCATCCTCATAATTTCATCATCTAATACTGGTTTGTTTTTCTGCTGTTCAGTGAATCTCCTATCATTTAGAAATGCAACAAGAAGTGTAAATACTTAACACTATAGTGCATTTTCTATCCAGTAAGTTTACAAACCTGAAAACCTTTCTTCTACTTTATATCAACTGCATTTTTCCCCTGATTTGGTTTTGGTCTAGAGAGCTAAGAAATACATTCTAAAGCTAGCCCTGTCCAAGGAGTTGTTCAAGAAATTGCTGCAGTACCTAATCCTGAAAACAACACTCAAGAGGTAATTCTACTGCTCTAACATATATTTGATAAATGTGAGATGGGTTATAAAAGTAAAAAGAGCTCTGAGTGAGAGGATTCTCTACAAAGTCCAAAATACAAACTAAACCAGGAATTCTCAGTTACAAAAAGAACACAATTATAACAGCTATATGTGTGGTTTAAGACAACTAACTTCATTAATGACCTTGTACCAAATGATTTAACCCTGTAACTGCTTTAGAAAGTATCCAAGATGCTATCAACTGGGCAAGACCGAGCTGATCAAAAGCTCTTACTGAAAGACATGGGAGTCCATGGGAGAAACAGCAGTGCTAATCCCAGACTTCCTCACAATCCCTCTCCCTCCATTTAATTTTAATATTTTCACATTAGGACAAACATTTGACATAGTCATTCAGATGGTTCCCACCATCTGTACTCTGTTGTTTTCTCTCATGTTTAGCTTAGAAAAAGAAGGGAGAAGAGAGGGAAGACAAATGTAAAGCAGGATGTCTGCATTTGCATAGTGCCTGGCATAATGCACTCTAGCCAAAATTAAACTCCTAGTCCCAAAAGTAATAAATAGTATTAAATTTAAATTCAGTAAGAAGTAAGAAGTTATGTTCCAATTCCTCTATTGCCACACTCTGTGGGCATTTTTTGCTCTACTTTTTGTGTTTCAGGATCGGTCGCATAATTCCTTTATTTGTTCTCTTTCCTCTCACACACTCATTACAAATTCTCCTTCCTTCTCCTGTATTTCCTATTTCCTTCTACACACTTACAGATCTATGCAGTCTGGCTTTGTCTTGAGGATATTTTTCAATTAAATGGCAAAACACAAATAGCTTTACTCTTAAGTTCTTTTATGCTACTTCTACCTAACAGTCATTTTAGTGAAAATACTTTGGATTTTAGAACTCCAGTACTTCTATCAAACTGTAAAACTAGTTTCACAAACTTATTTTCTATTTATTACCCTGAAATGAGGCACATGCATTCAGCATCTGGATGCAAACACAATGTCATTTTGAAAGATATATAGAAATTTCTTATTTCTGAGATGCAAGGCCACCTTTCTCCCTATTAAAAGGCTAGAACTGTACATGTTCCCCAAACTTCAATTATCCTGCAGAAGACCCATCCACTCCAGAAAGCTACAGCATGTAAGAAATTAACTATTTAGATAGATTTTTTATAACATATAATTAAAACGGGGAATAGAAACAGCTCCTTGAATGCTGCATTATCTGAACATGAACAACACAGAATAGAGTGCCATGGAATCATGGTCAATTTAGTCAGTGAGTTATTTTAGTCACTAATCTATTATTCATTGTATTTTCATATACAATAGGTTTATTTGATACACAGTGTCTTAATAACAAATTCTCCAAGTGGTTTGCCCACATAGGCTCCTACCTGTAGTTGCAGATTCCCTCAGTAAGCCCCTACTATTTACCAATAGCTTTTTGTCAAAACTAGCTCTGCTTCAAAAGTTGTCCTGAAATTATTGAGGGTACACAGCTGTTCCTGCCAAGTGAAAATTGTTTTTACCTGCTAAAAACTCCCTGAAATATGCTTGTCCAGAACTCAAAAAGTGGAAAATCCTGCTTTAAAAAAATAAGCAATCCCACGTGAATTGCAATTTGGTTTTTTGTGATTGCTTACACATTTGCCTGTATGCATTTACCAAAAGGCAGGAAACCTATTTCATTAATAAACACGTTTTAAATTCATAGGCAGCTCTTACTTCTGACTCTTTGTTCACATACAGTAAATTACAAATGACCTTTGGAAATATTGCCTACCATTCAAATACTAATGACTCTCCCTGCTTACTTTGGATAAGTAATTAAATTTGGGAAGATTACTTTTCTACCACTTACCTCCTGATGAGAAAATAAATCACCAGGAAGTCGTTCTAGAAATGAGGAGAGTGAAAAAGATGACTTCTTTCCTTGTACATCAATAACTTTGAGGTGCTCTGGGGAAGGGCTCAAGAAGGCATAAAGTGCTTCACTCTGGCATAGTCTTTCATCGGAGAGTAATTTCTACGAAACAAAAATAATGACACATCACAACACAGCAACACAGCAATTAAATGTTCCTTGTTAAGGAAGAAGAGGTGTTGAGGCATCCAATAAAACTGATTAAGTCACGGCTCAGAGGCAGTGTGAGAAAAAAATCCCTATTTCCCAAAGATACTTTAGGAAGGTAGTTCTAAAGTAGTGGAAGTAGTAAGAATAAAGCTTTTAACCCTACAACTTTAAATTTTACAAAAAATTCTCATTTGAAAGGAATTTGTTGTGAAGAGTTTTAGCTGAAAGTGGCAATTAAATAATTCATTATTTATGATTTTGTACTGAATCAAAGTTTAAATTAACTTACCACTAGAGGAATGGTTACTATCAACCAAACTCATCTCAACTTCAGGCATTTTGGACAACTTCGACATTTATAGTGTCAAACTTTGCATCTGACCTATTTGTTCTAGGCTCTCTCAATAGCCAATAGAAAAAAACCTCTTCTCAGTTCTTCTGTTTAGATACCTGTTGGTTTTGTCTTTATTTTCTTACCTGCAGAAAGTTATTAAGCTGGTTCTTGGATTTCTCCATGAATTTCTGGTCTATGGATTTGAAGGGCAGCTTGCTGAGAGAAGGCAACTGAACTTTCTTTAATGATGGAAAACACTGTGTTAGAGAAAGGAGAACTCAATTAACATCCATGCAGAGAAAAATACAGGTGGTTCAGAATGGAAATGAAGAGACTCTTTTGTACTCTCATCTCCCTTCCACATTCCTCTCAAGAAAACACTTTCCCTTTCCCACTATGAGCTGACAAATCTAAATCCTTTTCCTTTACACCACTGTGTTCTCTTATCCCTTATCACACAGAAAGGTTAAAGCACTGTAAAAAACCCCCGAACCTTCTCTCTCCCCAAAAGCTGTCATTTCTAATATTTCCCTGGAAGCCAGACACGAAATCTAGTTCTTACAACAGCATCTTGGCATGACAGTGCAGAGTATATACCATTTTGACATGGGATTGGTCCAGTAAAACATCATTAAGGGGAAAAAATAATTATAAACAAGTTTTATAAGCATCTGTCAGAGACCAGAAACATGCAAATAGAAATCTAGCTCTAAAAGGCTAAAAGCCAAAAGGTTGGCATTAAAACTGGCAGCATAAATTTTTTATCATTCTGACAAATGTTAGCAATTTGTATCTTCTCCCTCCCATAGCCAGGATTCGTACCTCACTGAGTTTGCGGTGCAGGTTCTGAAACTCACTGAGCTTCCTGGGAACAGTCCAGTTCTTAGTTTCAGCTCCACCAACATCTTGTAAACTCACCATGACAGAGTAACAGGGCACTTGTTCTCCATTCTCTTCTAAAACCTAGTGGGGAAAAAAAGTCAGATAAGGTAATCTTAGTTGCAAGTAAACAGTGGAACATTTGAGCTGCCAGATGACTGCTTGCAAACTCAATCATCAGTCCCACGCTTCTCTTGAGATTTGAAAGCTCCATATGGAGCAATGCCCTTAATGAACTAACCTTCACCCAAAATGCAGTGCCAGTCCTGAATCAGTCCTCCAGCTAACCACTATTACACACCTTACAGTTTTACAGTGCTGTCTACCAGCAATCAAATCTCCATGACATGTCTTCTTCAAAGAGCTGAGGGTATTTTTTTTGTTTTTAAGATACTACCATATAGCTTTCCAATTCCTCCTTACTACCCCATCTCTCCTCTCTGCATTTACCTGAGTGTTTTCCCTTTATTCCCACCCTCCCTTCCCAGTGCTCCTGCTGAGGCTAACCCACACACCAGGCACAGCAGCTCTACAGCTGGGCCCTGCGACAGCTGCTGCTGTCTCAGAGTCATTTCTCTGCTCTCTTGAGCTGTTCTGCTTGCACAGTTTGTGGTATCCATGCATTATCTATTTCTGAGGGACTCACAACTTCACAGAAATACAAATGTATCAAACTGCAACCCCCAGCCAGAGGAACAAGAAGCAATTAATTACATTGCGCAAATGGAAAACTACAGCAAAGTTAAATGATTTTTCTTGAGACAGTGGCAGCACACTATTTCTTAATTTGATATAAGAACTGATATAGTAATTTCATCCTTATGTCCTATTAGTAACAGATTTTTTTTTTACTTACTTTGAGGAGACATCTAAATTGATTACAAAAAGCAAATAAGGGAAATGCATAAAATATTCTAGAATGCTTGTCTTTTTTATACATGCAAATAACAAAAAGGTAATTATAAAATACTACTCCCAATCTTTTTGAGCAAAGTTATATCTTTAAAGCTTTTTTTTTAAAGAATATTTAACTAATCTAATTAGGATAAGAATAAATTTTAAAAATCATATAATAATGACATTTTCTGAGAAGCCTCTAGAGGTCTGACAACACAATGCTATTGAATAATTTGACAAGCAACAACATCACCATTGTAAAAGCCATTTGGCTGAAATGTATTTTTAAGCTATTCAGAGCGATACATTGAGAATATTCCCTGAGATGCATTCCTCATAAAGCTTCACATGGACCACTGGGAAGCCAAGTCTGAGGCCCAGATTTCACATATCTCTGTCAAAAAGCTGCAGCAGCACTTGGACGGAATACAAAGCACCATGAATGAATGCCTGAAAATGTGCCTGGTTCTCAGCAGCTATTTGGAGAAGTGCCTATCTCCTGCCAGACTACTGCAAAAATAGATGCTTGAACAGCCTCCAAGATGCAGGTCAGAGAGACATGGTGCAGAAGAACTGGGATCATCTGGGGCAGTCCCTGCCCTGTCTACCCTGAGCTAGGTTGGATTTTTGTTTGTAGGTGACTCACAAACACTTCCTGGCTGTCATTTTTGAATACAGCAATTGCTGATTTGAGTCATGCCTATGATTCTCTATTCTGAGAACAGAGAATTCTGAATTTGTTCCCAGGGCAAGGATTTGCATGTGTAGGGTCCTGTGAACTGTAATTGCCAGGAGAGAGTCATCCCTCTGAAAGTACATTCTTAAAATGGGAGGACTTAGTATTCCTGCTTCAAGATAGGTTGTATGTGCAAAATCATCTAAATTCCAACTACTAGATATAGACACATTATACCTTGTTTTTACAAGTACCCTCAGATACTGTCATATAAATATGGAAAATGTCCAGGAGCTTCTTAAGAATGCAAAATTTTTTATCAGCTTATGTGCTTGTGAACTTGTTTTTCCAAATTAATAAGTCAATTGGAAAAGAGAAATATGGAACATTGGGAGGTCTTCTAAACCAGATCTAGTCCTCTGCTGTTAACAGGCACCATCCCATACAACTGCTATAATGAATTAATTCAAAAGAGAGAGCCCTATTCCTCTGATTCTCCCTTTTCCTAAGTTAAGCAACGAAATTGCTTTCAGAACCACTTCTCATGGGAGAAGTTCCTCCTTCAAATCCACCCTTCTCAAGGGACACAGCTCAGCACCTGCAAAGTGACTGTAACACTTCCCCATCTCAAATGGAAACTCCCCTCTATGTATTCAAGGCTTGCATTCACCCTTGCAGACCTGCAGCTCACTCACATATGACCAGCTCAGCTGCTGCTATCAGCCAGAAGGTGCTCCAAGGGTCAGAGCCAAAGCCCAGAGCTCCTTCTGAGCACCAAACCTTGCATGCCACACTGGGAGACTTCAGTGCCCTTCCAATACTACTCTCCAAAAATCATCCAGCATTTTCACAGCCTTCCTAACCCTCTTCTAGCCCTGGTTTCAGGTGCTGCCTGTACAGTGCTGAGTAGATGGGGAAAATCACTTCTGTGTTCCTGCTGGCCACACTATTTCTGATACAGGCCAGGACCCCACTGGCCTCCTTGGCCACCTGGGCACACCACACTCCTGGCTTGTGTTCAGGTGGCTGTCAACCAACACCCCCAAGTCCTTGTCCACTGGGCAGCTTTAGAGCCACCTCTTGCCCAGGTGTGTAGTGTGGTAACCATAAAAGACATGCAATTTTTTTCACCTTATTCAATTTCTTATGAAAGCAATAGATTTTTTTAAAAGGTGTTATTCTCTGAGACAGTCTTCCTTTGGACAAGGGACACAGAATGTCTGCTACAATATTAAATTACAAAAACCATTAAAGCAAGCAGAGCAAGTTAGGTTATTAAGCTCTAAGTTTTATGCCTTAATGGGGAAGAGACTCACAGAATTACACAAGTTGGTATCATAGGCCCCCTCATTCTGCATGTTCCTATTGTATTTTTCAACCTCTACTAGTCAGCCAAAACACTGAGTCTCCAAAATAAGTTTTATCAGAAATACCAGCTTTCAAAAGACACCTGTAGATTACACCATTTACAGGGTTTTTTTAAAAGATATATATTTCACACACATAGAGCTAGTATATTTAGATGACTCGAAACTATAAAGACTGAAAGATTCAAGATAAGAGATTACAAACAAGACCTTGGACATGTTTCTTTTCAAGACTCAAGTAAATAGATTTTGATGCATTCTCTGTTAACTGATTTAGTAGATCAGTTTAAAAAGTCAATAACTGGCTATTACACTTTCAGTACAAGACCTATAGCAAAATTTACTTTTACTAAGCTTTTCTGCAAAACAATAGGGCAAAGGTTTTCTCTCTCTAAAAACACAGAGATATATTCTGGGATTAGCCACAATGCATTTTGCAGGAAAAACCACAATGTTATCTACTCATGCCCCCTGAAATCATCAGCTGCAGCTAGAATATTCCCAAGCAATAAAATAACATCAATAACTATAACATCCATGTTTTCTCCAGCCTATCCTTTGAAGCATGGAGCTGCAAACAGCACAGTTAATGAAACCTTACTTTTAATTTACTTTTAAAAGTAAATTTAATTTACCTAATCCAGTACTACTTATAAGTTACAACTACGGCAGAAAGTAATTAGAAGCCTCTTCCAATCTCCCTGCAGTGCAGCCAAGCCACCTTCTCCTCTGGCAGTGGGGGAGATGCTGGGCAGTTGCATATGGTTACATACACAGAAACCTCCCATTCTGGAGTTTTGTTGCACACAGCATTTACCAGATTTTAAAACCAGGCTTCAAAAGCTGCAAGTAACTCTTGGAAGACAACTTAAGAACATTTCAGTTCTCAACAGTGTCACCTGCAAATGGCATTAAAACAAAACCAAACCCAGATGTTTGCACATGGGGAATTTGGTTTTAAAAATGGCACCTTACATTTTTTGACCTGCTGGATTTATTTCTTCTTTTACAAACAATTACTGTTTTACAAACTGTTGACAGATCTATTACTGGTTTACAAGAGCTTAAGACACAACCAGATAAACTCCACAGCACACACTTTTTCCTCCAACAAAGAGTTACCTCAAGAAAATTACTTATATTCATTTCAGGAACATTTTCTGAATGGCAGAGGAAGGCAAGCAGTAGAGGCCCAATTAATCTTTAATTCTTTTCAGTGATACTGTCAAGAAGAAGATTGCTTATGTACATCAGCCTACACTTACTACATACCAGCATACACTGAGTTCCTTTCATGGTAAGTGTTAATAGAGAGCCAGGAAATGGTAATACTTCTTCCTTTCATTACAATTTCTTTACATTCATTTTACAGTTGTCTGCCTATGTCCAAATGGAACAGCAGAACAAGACCAAAAAANAAAAAAAAAAAACCAAAAAAACCCCCCAAACCAAAAACAAAAAAAAACCCCCAAACTTCATAAGGCATTTTTTTTCTGGGTATTCAAGTCCCTTGAAACTGTACAGTCATAAAATACAACAATGCAAAACACAAAAAGTGTAAATACTGTATCTTTGAGACATAGCAAAGACACAATTGCACCCAAGTGCAATAGTATGGTAATATAGGAAGAGACAGCTCTCATGAAAAACAGTGCCCCTAAGATAGTAAATTACCCAGTGCCAAAGCTGGTACATGGTAATAAATGTTTATAACTAATGCAGGTAATGTTTACAACTTCATTACAATGGTGTCTGAGGAGTAGAAACTCTGTGTATGAATCATAGCAGCCACTGGGGAAATAGGATCTCAGAAGAGGCATGGGTTCCTTCACCCACAAGTAAATATTAAGTGTAAACAAGTATAAGGAAAGGATCTACACATTTTCCTTCTGCTTCTCATGCAAATTTGAATAGACCGAGAAGACAAAAAGGCATAAAAAATCCCATACCTCGCCTGAAACAATAAAGGCTTTCCACATGCCAAGATTCTCACACCACCAGTCTGTTCTTGCAATGTGCAGCTGAAGGTCGCTGTGCTCTCTCTCCATCAGAGTAATTTCATCCTTCAGCTTAGAAACAATCTGCAAAGAAAAGTTTATTCATGACAATTGATAGGAACAAGCTTGTAAAACACAGTTATGTCTTTAAGAGACATCGTTCAGAAAGAAGAAAAGGTACAAAAGCAGGGGAATAACAATCCATGTGGGGAAAAAAAAGTCACCAATGTGGGACCTGATGATGCCTCATAAACTTCTAGAGCACAAAGCAATCTTAAAGGTCAACCCTCACACTAAAATAAAATACGAGTTAGAAGTATACACTACTGTCATACTGTGAATGTGAAAGACACTAAAGATAGGGTTATATATTACACACACTTATGCTTTATAAGAACTTGAAATGGCCATTAATTAAATATGCCTTACTGAAGACATCATTTTTATCATTTGCAGGCACATATCATGTGACCAATGAACCTGGGAATAGATTTCAGTTCTAGGAATTTAGCTATGTTAGAAATCACTCAGAAAGTTACCACTTATTTCATTTTAGTTTTAAAAAGGCAAGGGTTTATTATCGTGGAAAGCACAATTAATTAAATTTAATTAAATTTAAAAAAAAAGTTTTCATCAAGACATAATTCACCATCATAATCTCATAAAGAAGCGTATCTCCTCACACATGCAAAAATTAAAAGTAGTCAAACATCCTGCCAGAAAATAATATGACAAGAAAAGATGGAAGTATACAATACCTAAGACATGACATTAGAAACATGGCAAAAGCAGCTAACACGTTTTTATTTTTAAATGTGATATATCACATAGTTAAATATATCAGTTTTATCATTTGCACCATAAGTGATATGTTCTGCAGAGCTACAGGAATTCTATCTTGTTCAGAACTTTGGTCTCTTGTCAGATGTGAAATATTATCTACACCACAGCTACATAACAATTTTCTATCCAATACCTAACCTTCAGAATAACTTTGTATTTTACTTTATTTATTATCAGTGTAGAGACTTCTCTACAATCATCTTACATTGACTCCTGTGGCATCCAGGAACATTCAATAAATACAGAAGAATTGGTAGGACTTCATCATAAGTAAATAGCTGTTACATTTACAAACCAAATACTGAGACTTTACAATAATACTGGATCCATTTTCCTATTCTGTTTCAAAGATGTATATATGCTCCAAGACAAATAATATTTTAGAAATAAAAACATACAGAGAAAAACACACTTCTTTATTAGAGGTACAATCCCTGCCTCCCCTAGAACCTAAGTATAGAAAGAATATAGCTATTATAGTTTCAAGAATGCAAAGGGAACATAGAACATCTATGTGAAGGGAGCAATATATAAAGGTTTAGTTAAATAGAATCACAGAAGGGCTTGGTTTAGAAGCGGAACACCCCAGAACAGCTGCAAACATTTTCAGTTATCTGCAGTACTCTCTGGCAGAAGGAAGATGTGGAAGGGACAGAGGGAAGGAAGCTAACCAGGGTGGCCTCAGACTCTAGTGTCCACATCTTCCTCCTAGAGGTAGCTATCCTCAGAGCTGGGGTGGCAGAAAATGAGTAGGGAGTCAACTTCTACTCAGACCAGCATCTTAGCACTCAGCCCGAGTGAAGGAACCAAAGAAAAAGCAGCCAGGTTGTGAGATTTTTTTGGTCGGTTGGTTTTAACCCTAGTCCAGAAATCTAATTTCATATCCCTTAGAGTTTTTCGTTTGATGACAGTGTGCCGTGCCCATCAGAGCCAGCAGAGGGCACAGGAGGAGACCAGCACATCCCTCCGGGCAGAGCGGCAGGAGCGCCGGGACAGGGACACCCCGGGACAGGGACACGGGATGCCCGGGGAGTTACACGGACACGGCGGGGCAGAGAGGCAAGGAACCAACACCCTTTGCCACCGACAGAGAAACGAGACCATGGGAGAGGGATTGTTGTTCCGTGGCCAACAAGGCAATGTATATCACATTAGCAATTTTAATTACAATAGATTTAAAACACAGGAAAAACCCAAGTAAAACTAAATTCTGATTTCATCCTCTATTTAACAAATTGACTGAAATAGCCATCTGACCCATCCAAAATGTGACAACTGGATATTACACAAACATACACATATCCAAATTAAAAAAAAAAAAAAAATCAAACAAAAGAACCGAAGATACTAAAGGAACATACCTTTTTGTCGGGTTTTGGTGAATTACAAATGGAATTTAGAGCCTGTTTCTTATACTCAAGCTTGTCATTTAGCTGGCGAAGTTTATTTACAGCATAACTGGCCTGTTCATTAATTCTTGTGCTGCATTCTTCAGTAGCTTCTTCACAGCCTTGGCTCTAGGAATAGAAGATGGGGTAATTGCAACATTAATATGAAAAAAGAGACAGCTATTCATAGAATGATAGAGTGGTTTGGGCTGGAAGGGACCTGAAAGATCATGTAGTTCCAGTCCCACTGCCATGGGCATGGACACTTTCCACTAAACCACACTGCTCGGAACCCTGTCCAGCCTGGCTTTGAACACTGCCAGGGATGGGGCAGGAGGTGGCTATTGTTTCTTCCATAAGCTTTTTATGTATAAGAACACTTCTCAAAATTGATGAAAATGTAGGTATAACAGATAGTCCAACCATCAGATTCACCATGAAACGTCAGTCTGAAACATCATTGTAGAAAAACAAACCAAAACCAAAAACCCCAATAGACAAAGCCTCATTACTATTTCTACTACAGTTCTTTGGCAACTCTTGTCGATTGTGTAAAATGACCTTCAAGCTAAGGCTTTAGTATAAATGAGAGGTAGAATTGAACTTTTTTTTAAAAGCAACAACAGCTTAGTAGTCATGATCAATATTCAGAGACAGATAGAAAAGCAAATACTTAGCTCTGAGCTGAAAGATAATGAGGATGGGGCAGTGGGGAACAAAACCAAAAAACACCCACATTTCTAACAAACAGTCCTGCCTCCCACAGACTTTCCCAAAACAGATTTGTCATCCTACAGAAAAACCTAAACACAGTTCTTTAGCTTTTTACACAGATTTTACTGCTGTTTTTAGAAGTGTTAATAAAAATGTGTTAAAAGCACATATGCCTTACCATAAATTCATAAATCATTTTCATATATTCATTCAGACAAATCAATAGCTTTTCCATCTTGTGTACTACAGGCATGCAAAAAATAGAAAACTTCACACCTTTCAGTGACATTCTCTTTAACATCTTCTGACATGTAGCTTAACCTCCCCTTTTTCTTACTGTACTTCCCCAAATAGTCATGAAGACCTTCAGTTCTAGCAAACACAGCACCCAATCTTTATTGTTGCCATGTTCAAAGATCTTTGAGGTCTGTTTGTGACTGAGTATATCTAAATTTATCTGTGGGAAGCTGAATCTATTCTCATGAACGGGGGTTTCATGTTACTTAATGATATTCCAACTAAGTAAGCTGTATCCTCATATAATGAAAGAAAAGCTAACAGAAGGAGCTCTCATACTCTTCTAAATTCCATGAGTTTTAGAGAGACAATTCTATTGTAAATTCCATAGTATCTTCTACCTTATATCTTACTAAAGGAAGTCAGAAGAGATAACAGTAGCAACAATAATTAATCTCCTTAGCATGATCCTCATAAATATAATGCAGAAGTCAAGAGTTCTAGGCTAAGAAATCCATGCCCTTTTCAAGCACTGAATTTGCCTGCTATGTGGCTGAGTGAAAAAAAATTAGCTCTATCCTCTGTCCTTTCTTCCATCTGTTCTGCATGGGCTGTAAAATCCTAGGGTCAGAAACTGCATGCATACATGCATGCAGACCTGACCTCAGAACATTGTCTTCTTCCTGGCACTACAATAATACAAATAATAATATTAACAATATTGGGTATTATTTAAAATTATACTGTAAATAACCATTTAAAAAAACCCCAAATCTTACATTTGTTGGGAAGCACATCAATAAAGAGGAATCAAAAATGCTGTTTTTAACACAGAAGAATTAAAAGACTTTTCATATAAAGTGCTAGAAATCAAAGAATTATAAATTAGTGAGGTTGTGTTCCCAGAGATAGGCTACATGACTTCTGTCATTAACTGTTCAGACATTTAAAGCAAAACCCACTGCTGAATCACTAGGTTTATCACAAAAATGACAGAATTACAAGATCAAGTCACCTCTATTCAAAATATCATATTTATCAATTAAACAACCAATTCAGTCAAAGCTGAGATCATAAGATGTTGGGCTGTTTTCCCCTGATTGCTAAACTGATAATGGCTTCCATTTCTGTGAGTGACGTCAGTCTTATTTTAGTGATCTGACACACAGAGCACCAATGCAACCACCAGACCCTCTCCTCAAAGAGCTGGGTGCAAGCACTGCCTGCTTCTCTATTGCTACTTGTGATGTTTGTCCAAGTAGAAATACTTGGAAGTTTGTGGTGGTTTGTGGAGGCTTGTTCCAGAAACAGAAAGCGGTAATAGGCTGGGAAGAAGAAAGAGCTTGTTCCACTTGCAGTAGAACCAGCAGTCTGGCCTCTTTGTGATTCCTATTTTGTGACTTAATTTTTTCCCTTTTAATCAGGGCTCATCCTTTTGTCCTCACCTCCATGAATGCACAAGGTAACATTTTACCTATCCAGCTACAGCAATGAAATTTATAGAAAATTAATGCAGGTGATGCCCATAGTGCCCCAGGAAGTGAGGACATAGACCCAAACCCTAAAACAAACCAAAATCAATCGGTATTTGCTAACAATATGTATCCCTCCAGAAACATCTGATTTCTGAGCTACTGTTTCCTATACATGGGGAGGAAAAACCACAAGCCCATTAGCCAGTAGTGCCTTTTCAGCAACATTTGAAAGAACATTGGAAGCTTCGGAAAGAATTTCTTACAATTTGTTTTCACCTCGAAGACCCTAAAGCATGGCCCAGCACCATTAGAACTTCTCTATTCAAGGGAAACTCCAGTCATATATACACCTTATACTTAATTTGTTAAAAATGAAAAAAAAAAAACCCAACAAAAACTACCTTGAATGCTATAAGCAGACTTGGCAATATATTAGTCTTTAAGGTTTCAAGGCTTTCAGATACTTCAAATCTGGCAGTATGTATCCAAGGACTCAGAGGATGATGCTGATGTCAAAAATCTGATTTTTTGGCAGCTACAGTAGATGTTATCTGACAGAGAACAGCTATTCCTAAAGTTTGTGTCAGTTTTCTTAGAGAAGTGGTTACCTATGTTAGACTAAGAATAAAGCATATGAAGAGACTAGAAAGCACAACATTTAATGCTTTAGGAAGTGCTGGACAAAACTGTTAAGAGCCACTTCACAAGGTCTCAATGATTGCAAGCACAAGGACACAAAGTCTTTGAAGTTCTTACTACCCCCAGCACACAGCAGAGTTAGCAGTGAGAACACCAGAAAACACATCTTGAATATTTTATCAAGGAAAAGAACACAGGGAAAAGCAAACACTGAAAAGATTCAGCAAGCTCTAAAAGCACACATTGGAAGTAATTTACTCATAGCAGTTCATCTCTGCATATTTCCTCATGTGCAGACTATGAAGACTAGACCAGCTCACCTACAGATACTAGAGTAATTTAAGCAATAAATACAGGAGCCTTAGGCTCTGCAAAAATTTCTTCTAAACAGTAGAATATAGATCAGCACTTCTGGATCCTGCTTATTTGTTTATTTAGATCAAGTTTTAGACCATCTGTTATATTTCTTTGAGTTCTGAGCAAGTTCATGTGTAAAATTAAGACATCCATGCTGATCTGAACCAGCAGCCAGACTGAAAGAGGCACTCAGTAGTCTGAGATGTGCTCTCGTCAAAATGTCCTTGGATAGACACAACACGAGTTCCCCCAACATGACTGACTTAGACAACACATGGATAAAACCTGCCCCAAGAAGAGTTGCCATTGGCTTATTGCTTATGACATTTCAAATGCTCTGTGTTAGTATTTAGAATTCTTGTGCTAGATTTATCTTCCAACATGGCCTTTAATTTATTCAACTAATTAATACAAAGCTAAGATTATATTTTAGATTGCTTTTTTTTTTTTCTATTTTGCTTTTCTTTTTCTCTTTTAACTTTTAATACCTATTTAGTACCTAGGAAATGCATGGGAGACAGGGACAAAATGTCAGGGCAGAAACCTACTGCTGTTTCAGCGAGAATTTTTTCACCAAAAAGCAGAGCACCTGAGCTCATGTGAAGTATGTTTTGCATTCTCTGTTCCTAAGGAGCAAAATGAAAGGTGTGAAATACAAAAGGCTTCGGAATCTGAAATACCTACTTTAATTAATTTAAATAGTCTGTCATTTTGTACCATTTTATCTCAAAGAGCAAACATGCAAGTTTTACCAGGTGAAATTACAAGAGTGATGATATTTACAAATAAATGAGAAAAAAAGAAGAATAGTCCAAAGCTGCTACTACATACTTTTCTCAGGACAGTCTCTCAGATCACTTTAACTAACAGTGAAAGAAATTGTTTGTGTCACTCACCACTTCATCTTTGTCCTCAGGAGTAAGCTGAGCAGAACTTCTTTCTTCCTCCTTTTTGACTGATCTCTCATACAAATCACTGACAATGAATGAGGGGTAGTATCTGTCCTTTAGAGTTTCGTAAACATCTGCCTGAATTCTGTAGAATACTTCAATGCCTTTATTTCCCACAAGACTTTGCTGTATTTCCTTATAAAGGGATTTTTCCACAGGTATTTCTCTGCTTTCCACAAAAAAATTCTGATAAATTTCACTCACCAGTTGAGGTATTTCAGCCTAGGAAGCAAGGAAGTGGGAGGAAGAAAAGAATAATGAAAAAAATATTGAAAATATCAGGATGACTCAGGACCCAGGTGCATAAATTGAAGGATAATCAAGCTAATTTCCTATCCAAATGTATGAGAACACATCTGTGAACCTCTTATTGAGATCAAGCATGCTTCCTGCCTGTGCACCTCTGCTAAGCAATCCATTTTACAAGTTAAGTATTGATATTTGTCAAGTGAAGAAACAGCTGTGCTCTAAAATTGCCAGAGCTTCACACTCACTGCTTTTAAATCTGCATTCCAAAAGCTGGTATTAAAAGGAAGAAAAGTGCTAGAGCAACACCGTGGTCACCATTTTAAGTTCAGATTGTAAAGCTCAGCTCTATCAGTTCTCCTGCCATCTGCTGAATAGAATCAAATCACTTTATATATGATTATAATTGATTTGCAGGGGCAAAAGAGAGAAACAAAAAACAAAAAAAAAAA